TGGATGCTGTTTCCAAGGCATAGACATCAGATAGGTACGCTCCCCCCCCACCTCCCGCCCCGAGATGAAAGGGGTCAAGTTACAACCAGTTCCACCACTTCACTCCAGGGCTCCTCCACCGAGATGGTTAACCTTCCCTTTCCTGTAAGAATCTGGCTAGAGAGAGCGGGGTCTTCAGCCATCACTGGCAAAAAGGTGGCACCGGGGAAAACCCCATTCAACCACACATCTTAAAAATCTCATGGTAGCTCGTTATTCATGCAGTTTGCTAAATGACATTCGTAGCTCCATCTACATTTCCACAGGCTAATCTTTCTGTTACAGCTTTAATCCTCCTGCTACTTGGAGATGAGAGTCCCAGAATTCCCTCATCTCCCTCATGACACAGAGAGGACTAAACCTTTGCACAGCCACAAGCCACATTCTCTGACCAGGACAGAGACCCTCACTTACTTACCTTTGAGAAGAACTGCAACAGATCCCACAGTTAACGGAGCACCAACTCACTTGGAGTGAGATAAGCTTTCTGTCCCTCTCTGAAGTCAGCAAGAGCATCAGCTTCTTCATATGCAAGCAGATACACACTCTCCTCCTTGGGCTTGTACAGAAATGGTGAGGCGCTGCCTACTGCCAAACCTCTGCCACCTCAAAAAACTCTGCATGGGCTGGGATTTCCATTTCACCCCTACTCAACAGGGGAAGGAGGGCAAGGAAGAAAGAATCAGGGGGCTTTTAGGGGTGCTGGTTTTATTTTGTTTCTTTGAAGAGCTGGGTTTCTTTTTTTTTTTCTTTTTTTAAAGAAAACAAAATCAAGATCTTGGAGTGTGGTTTTCAGACCTGATGGCATCTAACAGCTGTCTTTTGTTGTGAGGAAGTTAGTCACAAGTCTGAGGCACTAGCTAGGACTGTCTGACAGAGGAGCTGCTCAGAAGTCTAGCATGATCTAAATATACTACCCAACATTTCAGACAACTACCCCTAGACAACAAGGAGTGCCAGAACAGACTCCAGGCTTCTTGTCATCTCCAAGATGAGGAGCTGATAAAAGCCACAGATGGCCACTCGTGCCACAGAAGAGAAGACACTGGTGGTGAGGAGAGTGGAGAAGAGTAAAAGCTGTAATAAAAAGCAAGGGGGAGATCCCTGGAGAAAGCTCCAGTGACCCTGTTGCTGGAAGAGCTGGAATAGGAGCAGATAACACAGAACAGCTACCTTCCCAGGCAGTAAATGCAATCCCACACATTCTTTTCCCTCCACCTGCCAATCTTTAGGAAGAGCCAGCAACCTAGCATTAGCAAAATCCACCAGGATACTCCTGCCATTTTATCGCTGCTGGCAGTCTGCTGCCTTAGACAACAGCCCACTCAGCTGATGCCTGGAGCCAGTCTTCTAGAGCACCACTGTTGGATAGCTAAACCCCCACCTTCCCCTCCAGAGACACCCTACCCTCTGTATGTGGAGCCGGTGGAACTGGTCGGCAATGCACTGCAACTTCCGTGCAATCTGCACCTCGGCACGTGCTTCCCGCTGACCTTCCTGAGGCTCCTCTTGGAGGTGCGGATCCAACGCAAAGCCATCTGGAGGAATGTGTAAACGGTAACCAGCATTCCCTACAAAACAGACATCAGAAGAGTCATTCTTCCAGTGCAAAGAGTAGCTCTTCTACTCGGTACACTTTATGGAGGAAAGAGCTGCACATAATCCTAAATTTTTGACTTATGTTACAGTTGAGTTCCTGAAGCCCAAACAATGACTGTGTACCATAAGCATGCTGGGCTTTTAAGCAGATTTACATCGATTAAGCAGAGCATTGTGTTGCTTCCCATGATCAAATGACTGGCAGGATCTTACACTCAGTTCCTTTTGCTTGTTTATAGTTCAGCCAAGTGCTGATTTATTTATTTTTTTAATGACAATTTTGCAGTTTTACAAGATCTCTGCCTCGAGTTGTCTCCTATTAAAGGTTGCTGTATCTTTCCCGTCAGACTTTTCTCAGTTCTCTGGCATTTAGTGGGACTGATTTGAATTAAAGCTGAATCAGATACACAAAGCTGAGTGGTGTCCCATCAGTTACTAGTAATACACTGGATGGACACGCTACTTATTCAACAACTTCAACTCCAGTAAAGAGCCTAAAAGCTGTCCCACTAAGAGTCAATTTTTGCATTTCCTTCTCTCCACTGAAAACTTGTAGGAGTCTTCCTGTGTGGACGAGACAGCACTAGAAGTTAAAAAATGTAGGCAAATTGTAGGATATGGGGTATGGTTACCATGTAAACATGTAGCAGTAAAATAAAATGTGACAGAATAAAGCCAAAAAGAAAAAGAGTGGGAATATCAAGGACAGCAGAAGCAATGAGCAAGTGCCTGGTTCCTGCAGTGGACAAGCAAGGATAAGAAAATACAAGCTGTCTTTCCTGAGGGAGTAGGACCAAAGCAATATAACTTCAGTCCTTTAAATAAAACACCCTAATGAAAGAAACCTTGCTTGATTGGGGAAGTGCTAAAGGGACAGTTTCCTTGCTGCAAAGCTAGTGACACTGGAGTGCTCTTACCATAGAAGAGTCTCCGGGGCTCTTCAGTGACTCCACAAGGCAACATAACATCCTGACTGGAAGAGGACGGGCTGAGTGTTTGAGTTGCCTTGTCCTGCTGCTCAGGATGTCTGATACCCGGACCACAGCAGTGTGTGAGGGGGAATAGTTGAAACCTCCCCAGAAGGCAGCTGTAGGACTGGTTCTGTGTGAAAATGCCTGTTGCAGTCATCTCACCAGGCTGACCTGCAAGTCCAAAGTCATCAGAGTGAAACACGTCATCGTCCAGCCCATCCAGGCTAGAATAGTCCTCTTCCAGGTATCTGGGGCGATCCATTGTTCCTGCAATAAAAGGACATTTGAGGAAACAGCTAAGACACAACAAAAACGTTGTCCAGGAGAGAATGCCTTCTGCTCCAACAATAAAATACAGCTCTTTTTTTCCATGTCTGCCTGCCTGCCTGCCTCCCTCCCTCCCAACGCACCCCATCTGCATGGGCAGGAGAGACGAGTGACTCAGTGGTGAAGGTGACAGCTTTGTGGAAAGTCCTCAAGTGCTGGGCCAGAGGGAAACAAAGTTCACACGTGTCTAAGAGTTCTAAGAGTTCACCCACAGCTCCAATTCCACAACTGGTCACAAGGAGGGAGCCAATCCCCAACCTCAGCACACAGAAACTGAAGAGGCATTGTTTTAAAAAGTAACCCCAACCCTTCAAATTGCCCCATGGCCACTCAGCTTCTTTGGGGTCTGCTTTGCTTTGGCCTGCTGAATTTGAACTTTATGGTATCCTCCATTCACTTTTTCCCCATCTAATACTTATTGATAAAGAAAAAACTCTTGTAATCACAAGGCTTTTAAGAAACCCCAGTGGTTGCAAAACTCAAGAGCTGGCAAAGCCATTTCTCTGAAGCTTTCCATAACTTCTCTCTATAAGGGCCAACTTTCCTTTCAACTTCTCATTTCTTCCCTCAGCTCAACTTAAGACATGTCCCAAACTTGGCAACACAGTCACTTCATTACCCCTCTAACCTTAAAGCCTACATGCCCTGTCAGTGCATTAGTTCACCCTACTGCTAAAGAATAAACGTTGCTGGTGTCAGTATTTAAAGTAGGACTTCTGTAGCTGCCGCAGTCAAAAGTCCTGAGCTCTGTTGCAGCACAAAGCTGTACAAAGATGGTGGAGGAAAAAAACAACCAATAAACCCTAAATCACTATTTCAGAGCTCTTTGCAAACATATAGCAATTAGAAGCAAATTTACCAAAAAAAGCCATAAGTCCCTTTACTGTTACCTGTGCATCTAACCCAATTGGAAGACAGTCTCCTAAGAGATCCATCTCCAGGATTTCCACCCAGTTCCAAACAAGGCAGTGAAATTCAACTCTTCATGTCTCTTCCTTTGCTCTGGTTTGCGAAGCATTTAACAGAACGGAAGACTAGCAAGAGGAATTTCAGGCCTGAAGGAGACATTAATAATAATTTTATAAGGATGTGTTCAGTGCTCCCCTTGGTGCTCCCATTTCCCCCCAGGTGAGCAGCACTCACAACGCCAACATGCTAGAGAGGACAAAGGGACGGAGCAGTGCAAGAACTGTTTGTGCAGGGCTCTAACTCAGGGCCACTACAGTTGTTGTTGCATTTCAGCGGTTCCATCTCAGTGGTTCCCTCAGCCCAGCTGCAACTGCCAAAGAAGAGTCTCAAGAGCAGAACAGGTACCAGCCCCACAGCTGGTCCAGCTCCGCTGGATGACAGCAGTGCCATCTTGGCACAGCACTCATCGCATTCTCATCCATGGCTTAAAGTAGCACACCAAAAGGAGTTACAGGTCCTGAGACGCTGGCATAGATGATCTCCTGCCAGCCCTGCTGCTGGATCACCATCACCTGAGAGAAAGGCAGGGCGATAACGTAGTTTGTCTTTGCAGCGCAATTTGCCAGATCTCATCCGTCAGAGCCCCACTGGGACACGGGCATTCAGCGCAAGAAAGCGCAACAAAGGCACAAAGCCAGCCGGCAGCCCAAACCCTGAACAAAAGAGGGTTCAGAAAGCAAGAAGTTTTTACTCAACCTCCTGCAATACTGTCCGACTCTTTTGCAGAGCTCTTGGGAAACGCTGAAGAGAG